AAACGAAAAGAAAAAAAGGAACAAACGAATTGGACACAAACGTTTGCTGGTGATTTTACTGTGGTGGGGCAAGTGCTGGGTGGGTGCTGGGTAGGTGAATGAGGTGAACGGTTGGTGGTGGTGAATGGTTTGGCGTATATTAGGTGAGTGACCGACCATTAAATACTTAAGTATTATAAGTGTGTTAAGCAATTATTGGGGCGTGATTGAAAGCAAGTGCGTTAATGTGCTTGACAAAGTAGTAGGCGCGCTCAGTAAAAGAAGTGAGATGACAGATTTGTGTGCGAGGGAAAATTTACTATTTGCGTATGTAGTAGTTGTTTATGACAAGTGGTGGCGGCTTTGCAGGTGCATAAGTGAGGCGTAAAAATCATAAGAAATAATAGGTAAACTGAAAAGAAAGTCGGGGATATGAGTGATGATGGTTTAGTGAAAGCGGATGGTTTATGTTTTTTTTTCAAGCATAACTAAGCATGCAGGCTTTTTTCTCAATAATTAGCTTAAATATTTCGTATCAGCATGTACTATATATGTAAGTAGGTATTTTCCTTTAAATGCAATAAGTCGCTGACTTAATTTGAGACTATAAGTGACTCTTTTTGTGACTAGAGACGACTTGGGTATTCAGTAAGTAAAGTAAGTAAATTAGAAAAAGTTCACCAAAGATGTTTGATGAAAACAAATAGAGGCAGTCACCTGATAGCGTGTTGCAAATGGTGATGAATGGTTATGTACATATGTACAGTTGCAAGCAATGAAATAGTAGCAACACACATAGTAGAGGTCTCAAAGATTGTACAAAATTAAACAAAATTAATCAAACTTCAAAAACTGATCATACTTCAACTTTCAAACTTTTTATTCAGAATCTGTAGAAAATTTTCGAATATGCAGTTGTTTAGCCCATTAAATTGAAGTAAAAAGTGCGAGTTTTATGTCACTAAAAGTGGCCTTTGACTTTTTCGAACTTTTTTTGCCGAAGGTGTTGCGCATTTTCTTCCATATGAACCAAATCTATTTTTATATGGAAGAAAATGTTCCACACCCTCAACTTGCACTTTATTGTAAAAACATTGAATGGGCTACACAATTGCATACTCGGAAATTTTCTAAAAATTTTAGGAACTTTGTGCAAGCTTTGAAACTTGTATTTATGTGGTTTTTGTTATAGATCGAACTATATCTTATACGAAATTTATTAAACATAAATAAATAAACATAAGTTGCAAACAATATCATTTTGAAATTTGCTACTATTTTATTACTCGCAGCTGTATGTCATTTTGCGTGCACAAAGCACTAGCGTGCCATTTGAGAGATCCGAATACTCAGGCAGCGGATTTTGTTTCTGTTTTAATTTTTTCTCCTAATTTAATTTTCTTTTAGATTTTAGACATTATTATTTTAAAAAGAAAAACATTTTGTTTTATTTAATTTAATTTTTATGAAACGTGTTTTTCTAATCTAATTTTCGCCTTTTTAGGGTATATAGAAAGGTCTTTTTTCCATATCTTTCTTTTTGCGACCTGCTCAGCGCCAAATGACAAAGCCATACGACAACCTACTGAACACCAACTAGTCTCAAAATCGATGTTCACCACGAAAAGTATTTATTAGTGACTAGAGACTGCATACTGAATAACGACATTAATCTAATTTACAAAACTTAGTGGAGATCAGTGACTTACCTTGGCAGTGATTTTCTTCTCCGCTCGATAACGATTATTCATATTGCCCGTTGTCGTGTAAGTTGAACCGCCACCGCCGCCGCCGCCGCCAATTGAAGGACTGTCTGTACCCGTGCGAACACCACCTAAGCCATCATTTTCGCCTATCAAACTGGACGAGTATTTAGATGTTAACGAAGAGGTGGTGGTATTTGTATTCAATGTCGAATTCGTATCGTCCTTACTAAGCGCCGATATTGTTGCACCGGTCATAGAGAGCGCAGCAACAGCAGTGTTGGGCAGCGGTGTGGATGAAGTGGAGGAATTATTAGCTGTGCCCGTGCTATTTGTTGTCGAGGCATTCGTATCGATAAGTTGCCATTTGTTGCGGCTCTTCGCTTGCTTCTCAATGGAACTAACTGTGGTTGAAGGAAAAAAAATATAAAAAATTATTAAAAATAAAAAATCTAACAACATTCTATTGCATTCATACTATATGAATCCGGGAAGTCTGCACCCTTCACGCGCAAGCTTGCTATCTCATCATCAATTTGCTGATTCACCACCGACTCATTATCGATCACCAGCAATATATTCTCTGGCTTGATGTCCGTGTGAATAATGTTGCATTTCGTATGTAAATAGTCGAGTCCTTCCAGCACTTGTTTGATAATGTTGCGTACTTGCCCAATGGCTAACCCCTGATAGTTATTCTTCACAATCAATTTGTACAAGCTGCAACCAAGCGCCTCGAAAACCAAGCAATAGTGCTTGCCATTAACGCCACGTATCGTAAAGTGATTAAGCAGTCGTACGATACGTTCCCGTTTCATATCGAGTGGATCCGCATCGCGTATGGCTTCGAGCAGACGTATCTCATCGGCAGCAGTTTCGATATAATGCGGTGCACTCTTAACCACCTTAAGGGCGACGTATTTCTCCTCTCTAGCGGAGCAAGTGTAATGAAAAATAAAAATAACAAAAAAATAAAATAAAAATAATGTGTAAAAAATTGGCTCTCCCAAAACTTACTTGAGATCCCTGCATAGCCAAACGGTGGAAAAGTGTCCCCAGCCGAGTTTGCGTACCACGCGAAAACGATTGTCAAATATATCGCCTATAATAACTGGATGATAACCTCCCCGACAATATTGTGACGGATCTTCCTGCTCCTCATCCGAACCATATAGGCTACTATCCGGTGAATCAGGATAAATTTCCTCTGTGGTGCTCATTGTGCCCCGAGGCTCGGAACTGTAAATGATGGATGATTAAAATTAGTTCAATATCTAAATATTTGTATACGAAAATAAAGCATTGCAAAAGGAAAGGGCAAATAAAAGCCATTATAATTTTGAGTAGTGCTTGGAAAATCAAAGATTAAATAAAAATTATATCCGATACAGAAACTCTAATAAATAACAAGAGGGATTAGACGTAGATTTTTTTCATTCAAACATAGCCACAGTGGTTAAGATTGTAAAATTTTAGAGAAAATCTCGCCGCAAAAAATATCAGATATCGTTTTCTACCTTTTGAAAGTTGCTATTAAACCACTGTAAAGTTTGAATAATCCTATTGCTCCTAGGATCCAGATATCGGACGCCGAAGACTAAAATTTCATGAAAAGATTTTAGGAATAGCTTTAAGCCATCCGTAAAAAATTATAGAAGATATTGCGTATTCTTCTTTAGAGCTTTCCCTTTCATTGCTTAAAAGGATCCAAGTGCAAAAATAGAAATTTAGGAAGAAGATCTAAAGAAGTCATGGGGTCTTACTGGGAGTAGACACTTAAACATACTATTTCCTAATTTCAATTATTCCATTTTTTTCGAAGTTTTCGCCTGTCTAACGATGGCCACCAAACAACGACCATACTTTTGGATATGCGGACTATACTTTTGGGTAGTCGGACTATATACGATTTTAGCCACTATCGTCCCCACATAGCTGTCTTGCAGCCCTATAAAGCAGTAATGGTTTTCGTCAAACGATTCAAAATCTCTCTTTACAGCATTGTCTTCCATAACGAAAAGAATTTCGGCAGAGAGTAGGGAAAAAACTCATTTTAAATAGGGTGGAGGAAAGTAAAATTTCGGCCTTGCTGGGTTTAACCCTGTTTTCACGCAGCAGACAAAAGTTAAAGTGTTTCGAGCTCTTTCGGGACAATGTCAGACAACCTCGGCAAAATCAATCTATTTTACAGCCACTTGAAACTTCCACTAAAACTGCATTCGCTACAAAACTGCATACCCGATGAACCAAAATTACAAACTTATGCCGGATTTCCACTAGGCATTAAATGACGCAAATTTGAATGACAAAGTTGGGCATTAAAAAGTCGGGCACTTAAAAAATGGTTCATAATTTCGTTTCCACAATGCATTTTTTTAAATTAAAAACATTTTTTGTCATTACCAAATGGAAACCTGTCATTATTTAGTTAATTCCAAGCACTACTCGCTAATAGCACGCAATCGGAGAGCAATCTCACATAAACAAACACACACACACATCAAAGATACAATTTCTGCTTCCATTTCTGTATCCATTTCGATTTCAAATGAAGCGCCACCCACAGCCAACGGCTTCAAACGAACTGGCAAAAAGTTGTCATCTTCCTGCGACGGTGACAGATATATCGGACGCACTGGTGAGGCATTTGGTGGTGTCAACAGCTCGAGTTGTTGCTGATGTATCAGCTGCTGCTGTTTAAACTCCAACTGCTGCTTCAATTTCATCTCCTCCTCACGCGCTTTCTTATGCTTGTGATGCGTCTTCTTCGAACGGATCGCAATCAATATAGGACCCGCTGAAACGCATTTCCGTTTCTTGGTGATGCGTTTGCGGCGACGCTTTTCCTCAATCTCAAGCATCCGCTGATTGGCGGCCTCCAGCGCAGCGCGCAACTCTGACGGCGATACAAAATTGAAATCACAAACCAATTCCCGCGTCACGGTGGGTGTAATACAAGACGCTGGTGTTGTTGTGGTATCACCATTTAGAGCGTCCACTTCCAGTACCTCAATGCGATCTTCGGCGGTTGTAGGCGGTAAATTCGTTGCAGCTGCAGTTAAGAGTTGTGATGTCGCTGCCGTTGGAGTTGCGGGCGGCGCTTTCGCTGATTTAATCCAATGCATGAGGAAGAGGAAGAGCAATAGCGCGCAAAATTTGATCGCGATCATAAATAGCGGATCACTGGCGAGCAGTGAGGTCCAATGTACCAGTTGGGTGCTGCATGCGTTGCAATATTCCACAGTATTCTGATAGGCATCGTAGCAGTGCTGCATCGCGAGCAGCAGTGAGGGCCAGATGTGGTGCATGAGCAGAGCATAGTACCGTTTGTATAGTGCATATAGCTGTTTCCAGCTTGGCGCGTCTGTTGGTCGACATATGTCAAGCGCGGATGATGGTGCGGCGAAGGCATAGAAGTCCACTCGCTCACAAGTGTTCTGTGCGGATACTGAGGAGCTAATGAGCGCGCTAAGCTGGTGTTGGAGAGTTAATGCGATTTTGTGCAGCATCGTTTGAATATCGTACATTATGATAGCTTGTTTTTTATTAATGTTTCGCTATTATATTCGTTATTAAACTGCTCATATCATTTTTATCGGTGACTATATAGAATGAAATCGATTTTTTTGCACATATTTTTTATATCACGCCATATAATGCTTTGATAAAGTACGTACAGTGTGTACAGGAATTGGATTCAACTATTCTCAGATCGCTTTATTTTATTGCTAAACTATTAGAGTAGAACTTATGGGTTTTGGCGACCAAGCCGTAATATAAGTTACTAGTGAACCCGCATGACGTTAAAACGCCCAAAATTCAATGCCATTCCGAATGCCATATTTCATCAAAACTATGCAGCCGTTTCTGAGTGAAGAGCAATCTCGCATAGTGCATCCTTTCATATTCATAGAATTTCAAATTACCCTATACCGATGAAAAAAGTTCTTAATTAAAAAAATAAAACTTTATTATACATATATGTATCTAAAGGCTAAGGTCTAGAAATTGACCTCTCATCTTTGAAATTCCTTTTCGAAAGTAAACTGATGAACTAATTCAAATTTGATTGCTCGAACCAAGGGCAACACTCCTAAATAAAGGTCAGGAATAAATACCTTTGAAACCCATTTCGATTTATACCCATCTTTTAATAATTCATCCAACTTACTGTATGATAACTATGTAAATTAAAACCGGTTTATCCGGTTTTTTCTTAATTTCAAAATCCGAACCCGTTTTTTTTTCAAATAGCAATTTTTCGAATAACTCGAAAACGGGTTTTAAAAGAGACCTAATATTCGAACAACCCAGGGGCAATTCCACTCAAAAATATATCTAAATTGAGGATTTTTGAATCACTTGCCATTTTATGCACTGCAATTATTTTATGAAAATTTGCATTTTTTGTTAAAAAAGACACGAGAAAGATAGGGCTTATTTTTTGAAAAAAAATCGATTTACTTCATTTTAAAGTAAATCAACGGCTTGGGCTTCGGTAATCGGCCGATGGTTAGATTAAAACCGAATACAAAATTTCAACAAAATCGTTATAACCGTTTTCGAGAAACCTGTGGCATGCTTTTTTTTAGGTTAACCGTAACAGGTTAGGTTAGGTTAAACTTAACACATCGCTAGATTAATAGAAATTCAAAAATTTTTTGCATGGTTTAAACTTATCCATAGACAAAGGAAGCTCAAATTTTAGTCAATAATTTTCTGTAAAAATTCCACTGTACGCCATCCTTTTGTTGCCGGCTAGAAGGTGAAAATGCATTTTATCATTTCATTATTTTGCTTGAATGTATGTAGGTATTATGTATGTATGCAGAGAGGTGCATATACATTTGTATGTATCTAGATTAATGTTTATGCGTGCTGTGCACTTTTCACTCTATGCACTTATTGTGAAATTTTCTTTGCCGTAATACTCTCGACATTTTTTCACTTTTTTCTTCCACTTATAGGATATGCTGACAGACGTTGGCGCTTACGTTAAGCAACGACGCAGTTTATTGTTATTGTTATTATTGTTGTTGATTTTTGTTGTTATTGAAATTCACATCGAAAACCGCCTGCGCTGAAGTTATTATTATTTTAATTGGCTATTTATTTATTGCATACACTTGCTACTTTTCATACATATGTGCATATTAGTCATAAATAATTATAAATTTTACATTTGTGCACCGTTAGTTTGCGTGAAAACAATTTACGTTATTGTGTTAAACAGTTAGCCTTTTCCATAAAATTATTTATGTATATTTTTTTTTTGATTGTCGAAGGTTGTTTTTTGTGTTTTTTTTTTGTCTTTGTGCGTTGACGCATTCTTCGCAATTTCGTATGCACCCGAGGATCGTTAGCTGCAATCACTTTACGAATATTCGCGTTTTTATATTACCGCTGTCAAAGAAAAAAAAATAAATTTCGAATTTAACAGCGTTATAAATGTTGTAAGCGCAATATTTTTTAATATATTTTTTTCCCCGTATTCCGCAAAGTATCCGCAAAAATCCTGCTTACATAATGTGCGCTTTCGAGCGATTTGACCAATGCCAGCGCCGTCAACGATATGTGTACGCGCGCACGACCAAGCACCGAAAATTATGAGAAGTAGTAGCTGTTTTTAATAAAATTCTAATATCACTTCTCTCGGCTTTTTTTTTGTTGTGCTTCTTTTAATGTTTTTTTATATATTATTTTTGTTTCTATTGCGCCAGCGTTTTATGCTTCTCAGCTTGTCGCGTTATTCGTTTTGTCGTCATTTATTTCGCATTTCTATTTATTTCATTTTTTTTTTCTATTTATTTTAGTATTTTATTTAAATTTTTCTTAATTTTATTTTTTCGCACGTCATTTCCAACAGTTTTTCGTAATACTTGC